CATCATATGATGTCATCTGAGACCGACGGGTTAAATCCATAATAAATAAACAAAACAAAATATACTAACATTATTGTAAATACAAATATATGAAACAAATAATGTTTCAGTGAACTATGAATCTGACTTAATATACACATTAAGGAAATGTTCATATAATGGATTGGCAGAAATCTTTATTATTTATGAGCATTTAGTTCTAGAGTTCTAGATTCTAGAGACAAGTATAAGAACAAAATTAAAAATGCAGTTCAGTCTTAGAAAATAGTGATGTGAATGATAATGAAGCTGATGATAGTGATGATGATGATACAAGTGAGGAGGATGATAATAATCATAAAACAAATCATAACTTATCTTACATATCTATTTACCCTTATAAAAACTTAAAGCCTCCAAAACTGTACATATTTGTAAAATCAAGGTATGTCCAAGTTTCTGAATTATAAAGGAACACAGGTCTGTAAACACAGGCACTTCAAAATCAAACTATACAGAAGAAAAATTTTGTGCTGAAAAAAAAAAAAAAAAGATAAATAATTTATACTATTCTTGCAAAACAATAACACTTCGGCAAAGTTATGAAAAACAGCCGAGAAAAATGAGAAACCTGGTTCACTAACAACAAGGTCTGACCAGTCTTCTAAGGATAAGCAGACAATGATTTGGAAAGGAGTGTATGGTTAAGTTTTAGGACTGACAAGCATGATAAAAAATAATGATTCTGTAATTTTCATTTCTAACTAGACAGACATATGATATATTTTCAAAATAATACCAAATGATATGCAGCACAAAATTAAAGGTACAAAGATTATGTTCATAAAAGTTACAAAAGAATATAAAGAAAAATTCTATGGCCACTGGTACATAAATGAATAGTTAGAGAGAGAGAGAGAGAGAGAGAGAGAGAGAGAGAGAGAGAGAGAGAGAGAGAGAGAGAGAGAGAGAGAGAGAGAGAGAGAGAGAGAGAGAGAGAGAGAGAGAGAGAGAGAAGAGAGAGAGAGAGAGAGAGAGAGAGAGAGAGAGAGAGAGAGAGAGAGAGAGAGAGAGGAGAGAGAAAGAGAGAAAAGAGAAAGAGAGAAAAGAGAGAGAGAAAGAGAGAAAAGAGAGAAAGAGAGAAAGAGAGAAAGAGAGAAAGAGAAAGAGAGAGAGAGAGAGAAAGAGAAAGAGAGGAGAGGAAGAGAGAGAGGAGAAAGAGAGAGAGAAGAAAGAGAGAGAAAGAGAAAGAGAAGAGAAAGAGAGAGAAAGAGAAAGAGAGAGAGAGAGAAAGAGAGAGAAAGAGAGAGAGAGAGAGAAAGAGAAAGAGAAAAGAGAGAAAGAGAGAGAGAGAGAGAGAGAGAGAGAGAGAGAGAGAGAGAGAGAGAGAGAGAGAGAGAGAGAGAGAGAGAGAGAGAGAAGAGAGAGAGAGAGAGAGAGAGAGAGAAAGAGGAGAGAGGAGGGAGGAGGGAGAGGAAGGAGAGAAGGAGGAGGAGAGAAAGGAGAGATAGGAAGGAGATAGGGAGGAGGAAGGAGATAGGGAGGAGGAAGGAGATAGGGAGGAGGAAGGAGAAAGGAGGAGGAAGGGAGAAGGAGGAGGAAGGAGGAGGAGAAAGGGAGGAGGAAAGGAGGAGAGGGAGGAGGAAGGAAAGGAGGAAAGGAGAGGAGGAGGAAGAGGAGGAGGAAAGAGGAAGGAGGAAGGAGGAAGGAGAAAGGGAGGAGGAAGGAGGAAGGAGAAAGGGAAGGAGGGAGAAAGGAGGAAGGAGAAAAGGAGAAGGAGAGAGAAAGGAGGAGGAAGGAGGAAGGAGAGAAGGGAGAAGGAGAGAGGGAGAGGGAGGAGAAAGGAGAAAGGAGAGGAAGGAG